AAGACCATAATATATTGCAGTTAGTTCAGATGTTAGGACTGAGAAAGCATGGTGCAGGCATCTGCCCTCTATGTAATTTTCAAACACAAAAGCCATCCCGACATGATCATTTGACTTTGATCCATCTGTGTATATCGGATAATAACTGCTATATTTGTGCCTGTGCTCAGCAAAGAGTTGTCTGTAAACAATCTCATTAGTGCTTGCTTTCACGTGATGTTTGAAAACATCAAGAAGCTAAATCCGTGAATTTTTCCAAGGTGGGATTTCAAAGTTCTGTACTGCTTGGGGGTGCATATCAGAGAGGGAATGTTCCTCAATGATAGGGCGAAGTCTTAAAGGAAAGGTAGCAACACAGGATGGACGTGTTTCAAATAAAGTATTACACTCATTATCAAGTAAGCACAGCTTATTGGGATGTTCAGGTTGGGATAAGATATTAAAGTATTGTAAAAGGGACAATTGCTCACGCCTCAGATAAAGTGATGGTTCGTTAGAGTCAACGTATAGGCTCTGTACAGGAGAAGTCCTGAAAGCTCCTGAACAAATCCACAAACCTTGATGGTGAACAGGGTCCAGTTTTAACAAAACAGATGAGCGAGCGGATCCATAAACCACTGAGCCATAGTCCAGTCTAGAGCGGATAAGCGCTCTGTAAATGCGAAGCATGGAGCAACGCTCTGCACCCCAGGAGGTTTTCGCCAACACTTTTAAAATATTTAGTGTTTTTAGACACTTCTTTCTCAGGTTTAAAACATGAGAAAGGAAAGTCAATTTCTGGTCGAACCTCACTCCTAAAAATTTCACTTCGGGCGCAACTGGAATAATTGTACCATTTAGATATAACTCAGGTTCAGGATGGAGACCTCGCTTCCTACAAAAGTGCACGCACACAGTTTTCTGTTTCGAAAAGGTAAATCCCTGTTTGTCTGACCGTTCTTGGATCTTATTCAGAGCCATCTGCAATTGCCTCTCTATGTATCTCATGTCTGCTCCTCGACAGCTAATCTGTAAATCATCTACATATAGTGATCCCATGATGGTAGAAGGAATTTCTTTTAATACAGAATTTATTTTTAAACTGAACAGCGTTACACTAAGCACACAGCCTTGAGGCACACCCTCTTCCTGTTGGAAAACATCCGAAAAAACAGAGCCAATTCTTACTTGAAAAGTTCTACTATTCAAGAAATTCTGAATGAAAATTGGTAGGTTGCCGCGCAAGCCACTCTCGTGAAGATCCCGGAGTATACCGTATCTCCATGCCTTATCATAAGCTTTTTCAATGTCGAAGAATATCGAGACAAGGTGGCTTCTTTTTACAAATGCTTTTCGAATAGATGTCTCTAAGAGGAGCATGTTATCTACAGTTGTTCTTCCCTTTCGAAAACCACTCTGATAAGGCGATATAATATCATTCTTTTCCAAGAAGTAGACTAGGCGGCTGTTTACCATCTTTTCAAACAGTTTGCAGAGGCAACTCGTAAGGGCAATTGGTCGATAGTTGGAGGGATTCCTTGGATCTTTCCCTGGCTTAGCAATGGGAATGACAACAGCTCTCCTCCATGCACTGGGAAAAATACGCTCCTTCCACACTCTATTGTAAAGCGTGAGAAGGGCATTCAGTGACTTATAGGACAGATGCTTTAGCATTTCGTAGTTCACGCCATCGAGACCCGGAGACGACCTATGTGTCTGTAACAAAGCTCTCTTTAACTCTAGCACAGTAAAATCTCTATTATAAGGCTCAAATTTGGAAGAGTTGAAAGCGATGGGATTTTTCTCAGAGCGTTGCTTGATAGAAGAAATGCAGGTGAATAGTTTCTGCTGGGAAGAAACGGCAGCAAAATGTCTCACCGATAGTATTCGCAATTTCTTCTATGGAGCTAATCACTCGGCCATCTTTTTTTCCAGAAAGGAAAGTGAGTGGTCTTTATATATTCCGCATGCCTTTCGAACTCTTTCCCAAACCCGCTTACTAGGCGTAGAGGATGTTATTGAGACACATATGAAATCCAGGAATCCCTCTGGCTTTGCCTTCTTACTTTTCGTGCATTTGCTTTGGCTCTTTTAAATGCTATGAGGTTTCGCAGAGTAGGATATCTACGAAAAATACCCCGTGCTTTTTTCTGTTTTTTCAGTACTTCATGACAGTCGCGATTCCACCAAGGTTTCGTATATTTTAGTATTTTTCCTGATGTTCTAGGAATGGAGAGCATAGCTGCCTGAATAATAGTATTTGTAACAGCATCATCGATATGCGCATCTTCTAGCATTTCATCTGTGAGCTCTGCAATGGAAGAGAAGAGTTTCCAATCTGCCCTGTCCAGAATAAACCGAGGGACTTTCAACATGGGGTTTGCTCCTCTTCGTGCAAGAGATACAAAAATGGGATAATGATCGCTGTTGTACAGGTCATTCCCGACACTAAAAGTGCAAAATGGCAACAGAGATGGTGAACAGATGGCAAGGTCGAGAGCGTGGAATGTCCTTGAAGGCTCATGGAAGTAAGTATGCTGCCCATTATTCAGGAGACAAAGGCTGTGATCTTCGATCATCCGCTCAATTTGTCTTCCTCGGCAATTTGTATCTTTACTACCCCAGAGCGAGACTATGGCCGTTAAAATCTCCTATTATGATGAAAAGGCTCAGGCAGCTGCTCTAAAAGATCATTTAAATCTTGCTGATCAATGTGCTCATTAGGAGGCAAATAAAGAGAAATGACTGAAACTACAATATCAAAATTTACTTGTACAGCGACAACTTGGAGAGAAGTCGTCAAAGGAAAGGAACTTGAGGGATAATCCAGTGAGGTGAGGAGACATACACCTCCACTGGCACGCTCACCTGCAAGGTGATCCTTCCTGACGAGAGAAAACCTCCGAAGTTTTGCATGTTGATCTGGTTTCAGATTTGTCTCTTGTATTGCCAAGCAAACAGGATGATAAGCATTGATCATAGCTTTAATGTCAAGCAAATTTCGGTGGAAACCACGACAGTTCCATGAGATGAGGGTGGCCATTATGAACTGGTGTTTGTTTGTTCTTTCTGTGTTCCTTTTTAGTTTTGCGCGAGAAGTAGATGCTCGGGAAACTTCCATTCCCTCCTCCACTTCCATACCGTCTGAATCTAGAGATTCAGAATTCATGGCATCTACAGATTGGGCTTCTATTTTTGGATAACTATTTTTGGAAGGCACAGTTTTTTGGTTTGCTCGGAGATTGTTACTTCTTTTTTGTATGACATGGGTTGGATTTTCCTTTTTCTTTTTCTTGTTTGCAGGCTGGCTGGGTTTTATTTGGTGGAGTCTGTGAACTTATTGGAAGTTTGAGGTGGCTATAGTGCGTGTTGATTTAACGGCGCTTTGGCATATGATTTGTTTGATTGAGGCTGTGTGCTTTGAACTTGTCTTCTGGCTTCGGCAAATATGAAATGTTTCCTAGAGACTTTTATGGTCTGAACTTCCTTTTCTAATTTCCATTTTGGACAAGGAACGGGAAAATGCTGGATGGTCACCCTTGCAATTTAACACACAGTGCTGCAGGCGGTGCAATTATCGCTATATCGTGGCCAACTGACGAGCATCGAGCGCACGTCAGGGTCCCACGACAGGACATCTTGGAATGGCCAAAACGCTGGCACTGGAAGCATCGCATGGGGTTTGGAATATAAGGTCTTACGGGGCAATTTAAATATCCAGCCTTAATATTCTTCGGCAGATCAGGCGAATTGAAGGTCAGGATCACGTTGTTTCGTGTCAATCAACTGACCTTCCTTACGCATCTTGATCCGCTTGGCAGCACAAACCTTTTGATCAGCTAACTCGGAGAAACGAACTCTTCTTCTAAAACACACAGAAGGTCGATTTCCGAGATCACGCCTCTACAGAAATTAAGCGTTTTTTGTGCGCTGACGCAGTTTTTGTGCATACCTGTCCAAGTTTGGTTTGTTGTAAAAGTGAAGCAGACTGGGTGGCCGAAAAAGGTATCAATAAGCAGATCTCTCCCGAACGGAGACGCTTTATGTTTGCCTTTGGCTCACCTATGCAGAGAATGAATGTATTTGTTTATCAGGAAAGGAGACATCTTTTTAAATTCTTCAGAGGCACTGGTAACAACAACAAAACGCGAGGACATTCAGTAGTTTCTTTGGCATTTGCATCGGTACGAATTTTCTTGCTCACAGATTTGTCAATGATTTCAATATCTTTATTCGTGTCGTTTGTTTCAGGTTTTTTTTTTCAAATAAATAAGGAAGCCATAATTGAAAAATATAAGATTCGGGTCCGACGGCCCCGCCCACCACGGAGCCCAACAAGGGAACACAGATTCCTGTGTTAGGGCTAGCCGGACCTATACGCAAACTGAAGCCCCACAGTCGGCTTTCCCGAAAGCAGGTACTCCCGAGAGCTTGACCCCAAGCCACTGACACAAGGACTAGTGACCAGCCGATTGACACCCGTGAGGACGACTAAGGTGCCTCCCGTTTAGCTGAAGCAGAGGCCAAAGTAGTGTGTTGGGGACAGTACCTCGCCCCTCAACTACCAGGACCCTCCTTTCCAGCGACACGGGTCTCCACGCATGGCAAACACGTGGGCAGTTTTCTCGCCAATCGAAGACTTGAGACAAGGGCTGTTCCAGTCTCTCGTGACGAGCCCCAAACTCCGTAGAGAGAAACCACGAGGGAGAAGAGAAGGGGAAAAGTTCCAGCAAAGAGGAGAGGAGACGGAAAAGAGGATAGATCACTGGGGCTCCAGGATCGTGACACCCGTCTCACCAAGAAGATGATCCCCTGAAGGGCTAGGGTACCTCGGGATTGCCACACCCGTACTCACAAAAGTGAGCCCCCTGAGGGGGAAAAAATATCGCCCGCTCTAATAACAATTTTATTCTATTTCTGTCATTTGGCATACATACATAAATTTTGAAATGATGCAATAATGGGAGAATTTGAGAATTTTTTCATAGAAAAATCGTAAATAAATATCAAGCTATACATACTGCATTTGGAGAAGTGACCATTTCATCCAGGAAAGATTCTGCTAACTCAGTAAACACACGGCAATAATTCACAGACCTTGAAAAAATTATTTTACAAAGTTACTTCTTATTTATCTGCCACCTAAACATTTTAATTAACAGCTTTTATCAAATAACAAAAATTTGCAAAAGCTGGTAATATATTTAAAATTGAAAAGCTAATTGAACAAACTAAAAAGTTATAAAATGTGCACAAAAGATATAAACATACTTATCTGTGTCTTCACGGGCAACTGATATATTGTATGCGTCAACAAGAGTATATACACCTTGAAATAATACTGGAGCAAGAACTTGATGATTACAAGTATCCTATAAATATAAAGATGCTTTAATCAAGATCGTATGAATAAATTTCAGTGCTGCTAAACTTAACTGCTGCACTTAGAATGTAATACAGAATTTTGCAAATTTTGAAAGTCCAAATACTAAAACATGTTTGAAATAAAATTAATTCCAAATCTCCACTGCTACTATTACATGTAGGTGTTTCTACTAAACTTCTTTTAGGTTACAAAATGATTAAATTACAGACTTTCCCAACCAAATTTTAGAATATGGTTCATCTTGATTTACTGGTTTTCCATACCTCCTGTAGAGCTACAGTTGAATCCACTGCATATATTCCAAATAAAAATCCATTTTTTAATTGAGATTAAAATTTAGTATCAGTAGCTCATATACTAATTGATACAATATTATATATCAAAGAAAGACCTTATTATTCACTATTAAGCAAAATAAAAATGTTTCCTATTATAAAACATGAGAATAATTTTGTAAAAAATTCGCATTGAAAATGAAATTTACCCAAAATGTTATAGGAAGCATAGTAGCAATAACTGATGGTTCAATGAAAAAGAAGAGCATTTAAGATAATATGTAAAATTTAGTTTATTAAAATAACAGATGTAATAAAAAAACTAAATTATACATTTGCTGCGACTTATGTAGTATTGCAACCATCTTGGCAGAATTTGGCAATTTTTTATGGAAGAAAGCATAAAAGTTACTTTGCATGTGCAAGGAGATGGTTTTCATGCTTTCTCTTTTAGAAAGATTCCCAAGCTACCAATATTTATAGTTTGGTAAACAATGTCAACTTATGAAAAGATGACATACTTTAGCAATTTAAGACACAGACTTGAATCATTAAATAAGGGTTATGTCATGCATTAAAAAAAAACCCTCACATTCTTTCTCGAATCTTTCCCCCCCCCCCAAGATTCTTCTCCCGAAGTACACAGTGATATGTTTCCACTTAAAAAAAATAATCAGAGAATTGTGAAGACTCGACTTCGTGCAATCTTCAGCAACAGTGGCTATCTAGAAAATGCATTTTGTAATTGTTCCCTTTAGAAAATTTTCAGCAAAATTCTGTATCACTGCCAAAATTTTACAGTAGTTTCTTCCATTTCTGGCAAATTCCACAAGCTTATACTTTAAAACTAAGGGGGAAAATATCACAATTTGTGTATAAAAACCACTGGAAATTGGAGTACAACAAAACAGAACAAATACGAAAATGGTGGCTTTGCTTGACTAAACTATTGTTATAAGCACAGTTGCCAGAGTTTGGCACTTTTTGAAAATTTGGCTACTTCTAATAACATGGTTGCAACAGTATGGAAGTACTGATTTACTTTATCTTGAATTTACCTGCATACACTTGATATTATTTCATTTTCTGAATAATGCAATAACCCTTTGTTATGTGGTGGACAGGACTGATAAAAACCACTGTAAGCCATGCTGTAACTTTGCAAGTAAATACGTAAAAATTTTTGTTAAATGTATAGTGGTTAAGGGAGCCTGACTGTGATACTGAAGGGCCCGGGTTCGAATCCCAGAGAAAACATGGATGCAAAATTGTCTCTCCCTTCACAGGAGCTAACAGTGGCTAACTATTAGGTGTCTCCAAAATAAAATGGCCACAACTTCTGGCCCTAGGAGTGGCCAATGTCATTACAGGCCAATGCCTGCTACTGCAATTTTTTTTGTTTTGTTAAATAGGACAATGGACTAAAAAGCATTTAATTCAAAGAAATATATATAATAAAGAATACAGTTTTCATGCATGCGAATACAAAATATTAAAATAAATGTGCTACATAAAATGGAGTTATTTCAATGCCGACAGTTTCAAAAAAGTTAAAACGATTTAATGACTTTTTTTATAATGCAAAATTTTTTCACAAGCAAGCTAATAATTTTTTTGTTTTTATTTTTTGCTTTGTAACTCAGTTCTTCATTAGAGTTCTTATCTCCAAAATGTGCAATCCTTTTTACTTCCTTGTATGAAGTAAAAAAGAAGTATTGTAATCAGGAAAAGTTTCAGGCAACTTATTTCAAAGAAAATATCCATTTTGACTGCTATCAAATGCAATTTAACGAGGTTTTTGGCATGACATCTGTACGTAAGGTCAGGATAAAGGACTCTTTCCCCCCCAAAAAAATTGTAAAACTAATTTAAAATGAATTTTGAAGAGAATTTTTCATGGCTTCTGTGCGTGCGTACGTATGTATCTCGCATAACTCAAAAACGAGTAGCCTCAGAACGTTGAAATTTTGTATATAGGATTGCTATAACATGTAGATGTGCATCTCGTATTTTGGTTGCAATTGGCTGTACCAAAAGTATATAAATATATGTATATATATATCCACTCTGTTACTCGGCTCAGTGATCTCAGTTTCTTTATTCTTATATGTTTGTAAATTGTGCATTTTTTGATTTAAAAATGATTGAATTATGTTATTCTTATCTTCCGGTTAAGGTTTTTATGCCTTTAGTAAATCTGTATGCAATATTTTTAGAATTATTAACAATTTAAAGCCACTAAGCCTAATAATTTTTTCCATAGCAGCCGTTGCTTGTTTACATTTTACTATTGTGAATTAAATCATGCTTAATCCATTCTGGAATATATTCGAGGAAATAAGTGTTTAAGATTTACTTCATAATTTTCAATACAGACATCTTGAGTTTTAATGTATTTTTGCCTTATCGTGAACTGAGAACTGAATTAATTGAATGAGAAATACTCAATCGTCTGTGAAAAACTGTTTCTTTTTTGTTTTGTTTGCTTAATTTCTTTTATACATCGTTCTAGATTTATTATAGTATTTGAATAGTACATGTGGCAACAATTAGATAATTCTTAAGATGATGTAAATTTTGTGTATTCTGAGTTAAAAAATGGATGAAATGTAACGCTGTTAAGTAAACCTAGGGCCAGAGTGTCACTATGGTAAACAAATATAGTGAATTTTAACGAATGGATTTATTCTATTGTGGTTTACGTGCTATCAACGAAGTAGATTTAATTCAATCCAATATGTTTAAATGAAACGCAAGAAAAAATGGGTATAATTTAATATTCTGTACAAGGAAGTTGTGGTGTACACATCAGATTTTTTAGTTAAGTGGAGACCTTTTGCCAAGTTTGCAATTATAGTATGTTTTTCTAGTGAATCTGGATCTGAGGTTATAGGATCCTAATTATTTCAAAACATTACCCTTTGTTATTAATTTATCAGCCTTAGTTTCCAAACCTATATAATAACAGAAATAAAATTCTGAAGCCTGTGGGAATACCTGAACAATGCTTAAAGTTCAAATACTAAATACACAAAGCATGCATGCAAGCTTTAGGTCATGTCATCAATCTCTTGTGAGCAATTTCAGATAGCAAAGCTAAAGCTGATTCAAGTAATTCAGATGCTGGGAGAAATAGTAATGAGGTGACCAGCAATATTTGTTACAAGCTCTCTCTCTCTCTCTTGAATTCAAAGATTTTAAATACATTACATAATTTGCATTCTGGTAGAGTGGATAAAAGTAAAAGTTATACTAAAGGCAAAGATAATAAGATATATAGTTAACAAACATAAAAGACTACAGTGTGTCAGCTTCTTCAGTGGCAATTTGCTTGTGTATCTCAAGTTCATGGAATGTCAGCTCTTTGATAGGTGAGTACAACAGCTCGATAATGCCATACCTACTAACTTCCAAATCCCAAATCTAATTGACAACTTCTTCAGCTATGTAAGTAATTCAACCAGTTCCTGGACTTTTTTCCATCTCACTTTTCAAAAAGAATGGATATGTGAGACAACAATCAAGGTATTTCTTTTTTTTTTCCTCTCCCTCCCTCCATCCCATGATCTTTACAGCAGCTAGACACTAAAATTTGTCCAAAAATCTTCAACAGGCAGCTTACTTTTTCCCCCCTTATAAAAAATTGCATTAATTGCAATAGCATAGGGATATTACAGTCCTTATATATACTATAAATAATTAAATGAAATTAAATATAGTAATTATATTAATTTTAAAATGTTGCATTATACTCTATAAACAAATTTGAACATAATTTCATATGAAATATTTTCAGAGGTACATCAGTGACCGAGTATTTACTAACAATTTAAAGGGATTTCACTTTTACCAAAGTTTCCACGTTTATGCAATTTCTTCTGAAAAATATACAGCACTTTCAAGATATTAACAATTTTCAAGCAAAATCGCATAACAGAAATTTTATCTCACAAATCTATTTCAAGAACTAATTAAAAAAAAGCAATTAACTACATAAAAAAGTAAAAGACATTTTATTAACAATTCAGTTTTTTTTAATTTAATAACACATTTTTAAAATAAAATATTTTATAATATTAATCAAAAAATTATTTAATAAAATTTTTAAAACTAAAAAAAATTAATGCTTAGTAAAATACCTCGACAACAACTAGAGCACTGCACAAAGCATCACTGGCAGCATCATGAATGCTATTAGGAGAATCAGGATTAACCTAAAACATAAAATAAAGAAAAAAAATATTATTCCAAATTTGGAAATGAGAATATAGTTAATTGTATTCTGGCAAAGTAGTTTTCATTTAAAAGAAACATATACATTTTTTAAAGTTGAACACAAAACAAACTGCTAAAATTAAGACTTTCAATAAATTATCATTAAGCTTTCAAAATATATTAATTGCAATGGGAAATTATTGCCAGACTAGCCAGAAGTCTTAATTATTCTATACCAGCGTTTCTTAAACTGTGGGTCGCAACCCCCAGGGGGGACGTGAAACCTGCAGCAGGGGTCGCCAAAAAAATTTAGTAGTTTTGGTATTTTTTAAAATTATTATAATAATTTTACAATTGCCAAATATTTTTACACAGTATATCTGAAAATAGATAAAGATAAGAAATACAGACAAGGAAAACGTTTCAATGTATTCTTTTAATAACACAAATGTTCATTTTACTTGCTTTGCACGCGACGCTGTCATTTCGTCTGTTACTTATTTAAAATTTTTATTGTTCTATGTCTTAAAATTAGAAATTAAAGTTAATGACCTAAAACTGCAATAGTATATTACATTACAAGTGAAAAATGTGACAGTTTCACACACGTGTGTGTCGGATTTACGCAATGCTTATGGGGTCCCACAAAATTTTTGTAAATATTATAGGGTCCTGGGGGTCATGAAAAAAGTGATAAAAAGGGGTCATGACTAAAAAAAGTTTAAGAAACTCTGTTCTATACAAATGGATTGCTACTTAACAATAAAACTTTATACAACCACTGAATCTTTTATTCAGTAAACTTCTTACATAACATACTTGTTTAATATAAATAAGGGCCAATATATATTTTGAAGAAAATTTTTAAAAATATAATGGGTTTAAAACAAAGCAGAAATTGAAGTAATAAAGTGTATCTCCATATGTTTTTATCTCATGAATGCAACAAATGTTTATAACGATTTTTCCAATGCACATAAATATTTTTAGTTTAAAGTTTATCTCGCAATACAATAGCAACCCTTAAATAACATATTCTCCATAGGAATCTACTTTCAGATAGCTGCATGAAAACATACACACTTTAGAAAATTTTCTTTGTAAATAGCAAAAAATCATATTTTTGATCTTGCTTTCCATAATTTAACATGGAAACAGTGCTAAAGCATATTTATGTAACAAATAAATTTCAAAAACACACAATCTATGCAAAGAAAACAATACAAAATAATAAAAGAATTTTCGCAATACACAAACACAAAAATATAAATATATAACTAAGCAAAGGCCTGATGAACACATTTTGTTTCTTGAACAAACAATTTCTTAATACACTTAACTAAGGTGGGAAAAGACGTGCACCTGTTCTTTAACAATTTTAAAAATAAGAAAAGTTTTAAAGAAAAGTGCTGACAGCAAGCTAGCAGGAGAGAGAGAAATGAAGAACGGATGTATTGTTCGTATTGTGAAGACCTGGTTTAAACCAATTCCGGTTTGGTTAATTTTATTTTGATCAGTTGGTTTTTCAGTTCACAAATTTCAGTGCTTATGATTAGCTGAAATGTTGCGAATGAACTTATGGTTAAAATAAACTTCTGTAACTTTGAGTGTTGAATGAACTTTGCATCATTAGGAGCACATAATCAGGCGAGAAGAATTAACTTTGAAAAGATGCAGCTTAAGAGAGATTTATTATCAAGCATGTTTTTATTTAAATGATAAAAAGGGAAAATAATAAAATTAAAAAAGGGAGTTCAGAGATTATTAAGTATTTCACGGAAAAAAAAAGGAAAAAAAAAGAGAGAGAGAGAGACAAAAAGTAAGAAACATAGAACGAAATCCATAGAGACCTGTAAAAAATTAAATAAAAAAACCCAGTAAAATCCAAAATTCCCTATAAATATGTAAATAATCAACTAACAGTCACAAGAATTACAGAGATGGGAAGCAGAAAAATTATAAAAAATGCGTACGAAGAGGGATGCAATCAAAATCTGATTCAACGTTATCAAAAGATAGAACAGATTCGCAAAGGAAATCCGAAAATGGAATAAAAATATACAGAAACAAATCTATTTGTAAAATATTACAATGCATAAAAAAGTAAAAGAAATTAATTAGATGCTTTTTACTGAGTTTAAGGCTCATATTAAAATATAGAAATACAAAATATACTTACAAAAGAGGTACCAGAGAAAAAAAACAGGAAAGTAAAAACTTCTATAAATACTACTCATACTACAATCAAAATTCCAGGAATTGTTTGATAAGCCTAATTTTAAGAAAAATAATCTCAACAACCTTTATTCCTTCTCTCACAGCCGTCTACTTATCATTCAAAATTTCTTCAAAAATAAGTTTGCAGGAAATAGCCTCATCAAGGATTTAGTGCTTGACGTCAAATTTAACTATAATTCATCTAAGTATAAAAGAATTTTCTGTACTATCAATTTTCACGTAGAGGTTTTGATGACCTCAACCCGCATAAATTCTTTAAACAAGCTCAACAAAAATTTTCAGCTATAGATTGTAAGCTAATTGTCTGTTTCAAAGTACAACAAAAAACCGAGTAGTTATATTACCAACCACCACGAAGAAGATTTTCTGTAACTTTATAAGCCCTGTTCACATGCAACGCTCCTTCACACAGCTGCTGTTAGCAAGAGGAGAAAAAGGAGACATGAAAGAGTTTCGTCTTTAGGACCCGTTCAGAAGACCACCCTCTGCCTTCCCCTTTACACCTAAGCCTCTGTGAACAATCACATTTCCGAATTGGCAGATTTCTAATACTGTTTACACATTTTTAACGTTGTTTATTGTTGTTAATTTTGTAATCTGTACTTCCGCAACTGGTACCTGAACTTTCGTAATGGTTCCTGAATAATATATGCTTTTTAATTATTATTATTATATTTTATAAGCTGTTATCTTGGTGCTTGTCGCTATGGTTAAAAGATGGTGTGGTGTATTTAATTATGGCAAAGCACACTAGGGCTATTTGCCTAAGGGGAGGGATGCCTTTCGTGGAGGACTTTCTAAGGGAAACTGGCTCGTATACACGTTACACATGGGGAAAACCACGGAAACGCCCATGCAGCCAGCCCATTCGCGGGATTCGAACCTCGGACCGAACTACCAGTGTTCAGCGACTTTACCGCTCGGTCGCTGGTGGACCGTTAAAAGATGGTCATGGATTTTTAAACTGCTTCCCGATAATATATAGAACTCAAACTTTGTACATATACTGCTTGTGGATGTGGTGTCACGCTTTTGATTTTTAGAGGATTAGATTTTTTTTTTTTTCAAATTTAAAGTTGAAAAGACTTTTTGCAAATATTAACAAATAAACTGAGAATCTCAGAATATTATAGTTTGCACCATAACGCACTGTGGAGAAAAAAAATTAACTGAAATTTTTAGCGTAATTTAAAAAAAAAAATATTTTGGGAGAATTTTAAAAAATCGTTCATATTTTTAGACTTTTTGACACCCATTAATTTTAAAATTTCATATCTAAAAATATATCGGTTACAAACTTCTGACATTTTCACAGCTTATAAAACAAACTTTTCGCATTTAAAAAAAAAAGGATAAAGGAAATTAATTGGATGATTTTTTTATTTTTTTTGAAAGATATGCAATGAAGCAGAATTGGAAATACTGGTTCTTCTTAGCATCAATTCGAAACATCGGTTTCAAAGTAATAATCTCATCATACCACACTATTTTTATGACATTATTTATGCTATATAAGTTGTTATTGTTGCCAGTTGTTAGTTCAGCGTGAGATTGGAGATATTTCTGAGTTAACTTTCTCTTAAGATGCGCTTTGCATTCCGTCGTGTTTAACGTTCTTATTAGATTGAAGCATAACTATTGATTATACTTAGTGATATTCTAAACACTTGTACGAGTATTTCTGTGGAAAATTCCAGAACTTTGAAGTGTTTATGTTGATAAAATAAATTTAATTAAGCTATCATCGGATTTCAGTGCAATGACAATCATTTACGAACTATTATCAATCTATTACAAACCCGTACGCACACAATAATATTATAATTAATTAATGTATTAAAATTGTTTTGAACATGTTTTACAAAACAAAAACAGGTAAAGAAAAATTCTGCTTGCGTTTTATGAGTTTTTGCAATTTTTCTGGCCACATAAGGTTTTAAAAAAAGGTTTGTAATTTATGTTTATATTTACTAATTGAAAAATAGCACTAGGTTTGATTTATATACATATGTGTCTATTGAAATTCAGTAATAAAATTTTAAAGATTTGAAATGATTAAATGTCTATTTAAACAGTTTGTATTCTTTAAATTACAAAATGCAAACTGAGAAACTTTTTGCATTTTTTTCAATAAATCCTTTTACTTAAAGTCCTAAAACATATACAGGTATGGACTAAATTCTTTATTATTTTTACTGCTTATTTAAAATTATATACTTTATAGAAACAAGGATGGGTTTTGCAAAATACTGAAAGGAAAAATTATTTGAAATGAAAATGTGTCTGAGATCATATTTGTTTTAAAGATTTTAGATAAAAGTGTATTGTTATTTTTTCTCAGAAACTAATTCATTAACAGCAAAATCATTCCTTGAAGTTATTAAAAACACTCTAATAAATACAACAAAAAAACCTGGGGGAGACATTGAAAATTGTAGGAGAAGAAAAGCATTTTAATTGTAAAACTTTTCTTCAAAAATTTTAATTAAAAAAATTACTAGCAAAAACTTTTTTTCAACTTAAAATTATTTTGTCTCATAAAACCATTTAATAATATTGATAAAAAGTAGATGAAAATGCTTAATTTTTTTTTTAAAAATTATTCAAAAGATATCGAGTTCCTTGTCGCGTTGAAGCCGATATGCACTTGTCTTAACTTTAGATTTAATTTGAGCGATATTTCTGGAATACCTAGCATCAGATAACCTTGTCTTCATTTGTCTATAATTTCCGTATCTTGTACAGTTCTATCTAATTTTTGGGGTATGCTATCGCATCCCCAGACATCTATCAACGCGATTGTTTCGCTGACAGTCCAGCGAGCAGTAACTAAAATTAAGTGAACCGCGCAGTATAGTATGGGAAATCTCCCCATTTGTCCTGCTCCCGAGAGGTAAGGAACATTCAACCCAGTTCTACCTCCAATTCGGCGAGGCAGTTAATGCTTGTCCCATGTGAACGGGACACGTTGGAAGAACTGGTTTTCACTACCGGTCGAATCTGCTCTTGTGAACGAAGCTATAGTGTAGTGAAGAGAGATTTCTACCATATGTGGATGAACAACAAAAACATGTAATTACAGGAAATCCAGACATTATACAGGATGAAGATATAAAAAGTTCCACTATTCTCTTATTGAAAAGAGTTACATAATTCAACAACATATTGCATTTCCAAAAATAAAGAAAGGTTAATAATCAACAAAATTTATGCTTTTCACAGGAATAATTAAAAAAAAAGTCCGGAAAGATTCAGATTTTAAATTACGTCCAAAGAGGCGTTTTTTAAAACATTTTGTGTGTTACCTTTATTTATTAAACATTATGTTCTTCATACTTACACCATAAAATTAAATTCAAGAGCAATACTGCAAAATAATTTTAAATTGAGCATATCTTTAGAATTTCCGATACACAGTCTTATGCGTTGGAGATAAAAATGTTTTCTGTACAGTGTTGCCATTACTCACTTTAAAGTTCTTGAGTTTGTTAATCAGAAATTCGTTAAAAGTTTTGCAAAATATGAAATCAATAAAACAAATTCCAAATTTGGGCTTCCAGATGCCCATAGTTGTGGTAGGATTACATCATTCAAAATTTGACGGTTCTAAGTACCGTTGTTTTATCACAATGCGAGAAACATATACACATTTATGCAGGGTATTCATTATTTAATTTCTTCATATATAATACAGGGCGATAATATTTGGTGGCAATGGTTTGGAAAGTGATAGCTTTTTAAAGACTTCAATGTTAAAATGCTAAAATGAAAACAATAGTCCCTCAGGGACAAAGCCCCTTTCGACTAAAAAGGGGAAAGTTTGCCCAATGCTGCTCAAGCAACTACTCGCTATTGTGCTATGTATCTGGCTGCTAATGGCCATTGCTTTGAGGAATCATGTACAATAACTAACATGTACTGATGCACGAAAACAGTATTAAACATAACCTATGATATGTATGATTAGATTACTAATAATAAAACTCAGTGCTAATACATAATTAAGAACTTTCTTTCGTTAAAGTGTGTATACACTTTTTTGATGAACCTGCTCTGCTAAAAATGTGATAGGTAAAGAGATGTAAAAATGTAAAGGGAGGTGATGCACAAAACTTTTTAATCTGTTAATCATTTATGGCAAACATAACCAATATTTGATAATAAACAAGTTTTTTAGTTGACTGTAGCTATCAGTAGTTTTTTTTTGGGGGGGGGGAGGTTACATTATACAGAAATTTATCTAACACAGTACAAAGTCCGAAATCCGGACATCCATTACCCGGAATGATCTAAAATCCGAACCTCAAAACCACCACCAACGTTTTTCTTCTACGCTTTATGCACGCACATTTGATTCCCCTACCGCGCATAATAAAACATTTGGAGAGTCTCAATTCTTAGTTTCACTTCGACACCAAATAAAATACCTTGTTATTGAAAAAAACAAAATTTTAGTATAAATTTGTATGATCAGTAATTTGGTGCCATTGCTGCACATCTGCTTTTTGGCACACATCTCAAACCGAAACATTCTGTATAGATACATTGTTGATCCTGACGTTAATTTGGCGAATCATTTTTAATTAAATTTTCTTTTCATCACTGCATGTTTATCAAAATATGACAACTTGAGTAATGACTCATGTAGCGATGCCTAAACAATTTACTTTACCTAAAATTCCTTTCCATATGTTAAACTATAATTTGTTGATGATACTCATAGACCCAAAGATTGATTTGTTATTTACATAAACCCAGAACCAGCGCCAGGGCTCGTATGGCCACAGTCTCAGTGTGCGATATAAGCAAGTTAAAATTTAACGGAACAACTTGTCGTTAGTTGCCATGCTCATGATGCATAGAAAAATATGTATAGTGAAGGATAGCTAAATTTGATGATGATAGCCGCTAATTTTAAAGGTTTTCGGACATTGCAAAGCAAAGGTCAAATTTCCCAATTAACGGATTTTGTAAAGAAATGTGGAGAAACGGTAATAAATGAAGATGCTATAAAAGAAGTTTTTCATTGTGATGACAATGCTTCTAAATCATCAATCAATTAATGAATGGTGAAATCTGCTTTATGTTTCTAGAAAATACCGCTACAGATAGTGAAGAAAGTGACAGAAATGACTGAAAATGAGAAAATTTTGATTGACAAGTAAGTCGGAATTCTCGAAGCAGCAGTTACAGGACTTCAACAATGTAACTAAGCAAGAGATTATGTCTGTCTACAGAATTAAAGAAAAAGCATTAGCACAAAAAAAAAAAAAAAAAAAAAAAAAAAAAAAAAAAAAAACAACTTAAACAACTTACATTGAAAGAAATGTTTACTAAGATAAACAAATAAATATTAAGCTTTTTTTTGCAAATTTTGATACCCTTTAGATCATAAATATTTGATTATTTCCTAAACCACGATTTCATATTTTTAAATTTATAATTTCTGCGCATGCCATCTTACTAGGTTTTAACTGATGATCTAATATAAAAAAAAATCCCAAATCCAGAACCACCAAAGTCCCGACGAGCCCGGATATCGGACTTTGTACTGTACTTTTTCATACTATGAAAAAGGCCATAAGCACAAAACTCTTTCATCATGTTTTCTTCATGTACATTAACTTTTATATTAAGTGAAATGATAATCAATGCTTTGTTACATCAATAAATATCTCCAAGCATAACCTGAAATATTTAAGTATATTTTTAATCTGAAAATAACAGTATTTATAGCACAACAACAGGCCAAATTCTTGAATGTTATTCTACACATTTGTTTATTGATTAAATTAGCACTTTTGGAATGTGCTGTCCTTTCAGTTCACTTTTTGCCTTTGATGGGTATAGAGCTTAATATTTTAGTCTACAGAAAAAACTAGCGTCGTATATACAAATTAGTTATATTAGGATGATTCTGGGTATAAGGATCTTTAAGAAAGTCCTATAAATCATCTATAAATATAATAATTTTTCCCCCTCATCGTAGAGACTCATCAATCAACCAAAATCACATTATAATGACCTGCATTAATATGGTAAAAGTGAACCTCAATCTAAAAAATATAGAATTCATTATCTCCCCTTCTGAAAGCCATTAGCAATTAAAGCATAAATATACCTAACCATCTTCCAACAGGGGGGAGGTGAAAGAAAAAAAAAAAAAAAAAAAAAAAAAAGACCAGAAATAGTTGAGAACACAAAATCTTCTTACAACAGGAAAAATTCTCCTATAAAACATGTCTCACAGAGTACTTTCATTTTTTTAAATTAAAAATTTCAAAATTTTTTGCAAATTATAAATTTTTGGGCTAAACAGTTTTTTTTTTTTTTTTTTTTAAATTACAAATTAAAATTATTCCTCTTCTCATCATCATGAAATACATTTCAGAATTTGAATTTAAATTAAAATTTACCATAACTAAATTCAGATCAATTAGAATTTAGTTATAGTAAATTTAAAGTAATTACAAGGGAGAAGCATATATTTGATTTTCAGAGATGGAATGATGTAAAAAAATGACCATTAAAAACATTAAATACATTTATGATGTTATGAAAAGAAACAAACTGCAACATAAGCAAAACAAAATATTAAACATACCAAAACTTGAAAAATGCAATTTAAAAGAATCGGTAATGATTGATCACCAGTTTGTAATCCTTTTAAGGTAAACCAACTTCCCAAACAACGGAAAATTTTCTTTAAAAGTTTGGAGTCATTTTGACTCATAGATTGTACACAGGAACTCTAAAATGATGGAAAACATAAAATAAATTAATCAAACATAAGAATTTCCAGCTCTAACTATAAATAAGAATTTACACCTTCAATAAGTATAATAAACATCTTATTTTCACAATATTATATTGATACTCCTTGAATAACAAATTCAATTAAAGAACTTTATAAATTAACACAAATTAAATTAACACTTTCAATCCCTTATTAAATTTCAGAAACACAGACTTTAAATAATGCTTTTTTAACATCCAGCTTAATTAGAAAATGAACATTACACATGAATGTAATGTATGGAAATCTGGGAGAAAAATTCACCATCTAACAAAATATGTATATAATTTTAAAACAGAAAACTTTTCGATCAATTAAGTCAAAAATACTTAAAATTCTTGAGGGTGAAAGGATTTTTGGAGTAAATCATATTTTTACTTTTACATTACTTATCAAAAGAAATTAAACTTCCTTCACATACTTCAAGTATACAACATTAAACATATATTTTTAGTAAACAAGCTATGCAATTTTACATGCACTACATTTAATGTGTTTTAATTATTAAGCATTCTAATAGCTCAAATTCAGTAATTAGATTTCTATAAATTAGAATGACTTTCAGCCAGGAGCGTAGCTAGAGTTTCCAGCGCCTGGGGTCAACTGAAGAATTTGCGCCCCTTTCAGTGTGCCAAGAATGGAAAACATTTCATTAAAAGATTTCATAGCATCAATTTGGCGCCCCTTGGATGCTGCGTCCGGGGACAGATGTCCCCCCTTGCCCCACCCTAGCTGCGAAACTGCTTTCAGAATCTTGAACATTTCTGCACAGCAATTTATCATGTACATTTGATAATTGTTTTACAGTAACTAAAAATTGACTGGAAAAGCTGATTGTCAATTACGGAACTTACATAAAATTAAGGGGAAAAAAAAAAAAAAAAAAACTATCAGAAAAAGGAAGCACATCTCAGATCATCTTAGATGTGCACTGTGGGGGGGAGTGGGGGAGGGTACAGTTCTATATCTCCCATTCTACTGGGCTAATTGACGAAATTCAACTTGGGTTTTTCATGTCTCGAAAGTGCGACTTAGGATATGTATTAGATTTATGTATAGCATTGCTCTAATACAGGTATTTTGACACAAAAATCTCACTTTTTTTGAAATAACATACCAGTTTTTTTTTCTCATATTTCCATTCTACGACTCAAATTACACCAAACTACTAAGTTTTGAAAAAGTCGCACAAGTAGTTTTTAAAAAACTTAGCTCTCAAAATTTTAGCTCCTCAGTGTTAATTGAGTTTGGTATATACGAGGGTTGGAACTTAGTAACTAATAGTGGCAACACAGCTGGAAAAATGCTACGCAACAAAACCAAAGAACATCGCGTATACCACACGTGAATTACATACCTACCTTACCTCTCAGCAAAAAGACTCGTCCTGCCTACGTCACGCGCATGCGGAGTGACGCGAAGAACGGATCCTTGTATTAGGTCGACGTCTAAAGTATGTGTTGTCAGGATGTTTTCAAAACAAGAACGATGTTGTTGGATAAAAATTGAAAGTGCCAGAGGTCGTACAGCACGACAGTGTCATCAAGGGCTTCAAGAGGCTTGCGGAGAATCTGCATTGCCTTACAAAATCGTAGCAAGATGGGTGAAAGCATTCAATGAAGGACGCCAAAACGTGGCAGACATGCTGCGGCCAGGTTGTCCTAATGTCAGTGATGCAGACATGCAAGCTGTTGCCGCTTTAATGGACAGTGATCGCCGCCAAATGATTCGTCAGCTGGCCGGACAAACAGGATTAGCGCATACAACTGTGCTGCACATTCTTGAACGAACGCCTGTCCATGAGAAAAATTGCTTCATGATGGGTTCCACATCAATTGACGGAAATGCAGAAATGGCTACGATACGATGCTGCCCGAATCCACCTGGAGTGCTATGAGCGCGAAGGAGATGCTTTTTTACGCCGTATCATTACGTTGGATGAGACTTGGGCCCGATCGTACCAGCCAGAACTGAAACACCAATCAAACGAATGGTGTCATCATGGGTCACCACGACGTTTGAAATTTCGTCAGAACCCCAGCAATGTGAAAGTTATGGTGATTCTCGTGTACGAATGTGATGGTGTCATCCTAACGCATACCGTTCCCCCACAGCAGACCGTCACTGCGCAGTAATACTGCTCATTTTTGGAGCACAATCTCCGACCAGCTTTGAGAAAAAACGGCGACACTTTCTGCAGAATGCTCCTCTCATTTTGCATGACAATGCTCGACCGCATGCAGTGCAAGCTGTGACTGATTTGTTCAAGTGATGGGGCTGGGAAGTGCTTTACCATCCACCATACTCCCCAGATCTATGCCCTTGTGACTATGACTTAATTCCTAAGATGAAGGAACCACTTCATGGCACTCGCTTCCAAACTGTTCCTGAGATTCTTGCGGCAGTAGACCGGTCCATTCAAACTATCAACAAACAGGCGCTGGCACTGCTACAGGTATTCTGCGACTTCCACATCGTTGGAAACGGGTTGTACACAATGCTGGCGACTATATTGAAGGACTGTAAAACATGGTGACATAAATCACTTTTGTATTCCTTGTAAATAAATAGTTGCCACTATTAAAGTTCCAACCCTCATATTTATTAATTTCTCTTTTTTTATTAAGCTTACTTGATTCTTCCTCTCACATTTCGAAACTCGGATGTATTCCAAATAAAATTCACCCATTTTTTTATGATTTATTTTTGAAATTCGCATTTTTAAATAGTTTTTATAGATTTAAAAAAAAAAAAAAAAACATTTTTTGAGAGCATATCCTGAAATTATGTCAATATAATCTATAAAATTTTTACCACGTATTTCTAAGCATACCTGCAAAAAATTACAGTTTTTATTCAAAATTTCTGAAGATATACGTGAATTTTTATATTGGCATATTTGTTGAAAGCGATAAAACATCAAATGTGGTTTAGACACTATGCTAAAATTAATTGAAAGTAGGAACGTTGTGGATATTTTTCCACTTGTGCACAATGTAAAAAGATAGGAACGAGGTGCCTTTTTTTCCCGCTCCGTCATAATGGAAGAGAAAGGAAAATTAGTTGCCATATACTAAGAAGTCTGCCAAGTTCTTGGGGACAAACTGAAAAAATTGCGGCAAGATAAATTTTTGAATTTCTCCGTAAATTTTACAAAACTTAATATTTAGGCATAATTTGAGTCGTAGCGTTGAAATATGGAAAACAATTGGTATGCTATTTCAGAAAAAGTCCAATTTTGTGTCAAAATACCTATGTTAGAACAATGCTATATATAAACCTACATATCCGAAGTCGTGCTTTTGAGACATGAAAAACGCTATTTGAATTTTGCCAATCGGCCCAGTAGAAGAGGAGATATAGAACTGCCTTCCCCCCTGCAGTATACATTATTTTTCAATGGAGATAAAATGAAACTAACATATATATAAAATCTGAACACCTTAACCCTTAGGGTACAGATTTATTTGATAAAAATCTTCTGTTGACTTTTTACAAACAGCATTCACTGAAGTAATGGAAGAACCTTGCTCTTATAACTGATACCAATCACTTTTACCATGAACAAGAATGCACATGTTTAATTTTGTCCTAGTTTGAATGACGATTAAGATTCATTATCCATAACTTAGGCAAAATAAGTGTATGACAATTCAAAGTCATCAAATGTACCCAAAGAGGTTAAACAACATTTGGCTGAATGAAGATCTCATAAATTGGTACATCAATTAAAAAATAAAATTAGGCATCAAAATGGCTGAGAAATTAATATTTTTTACTTAAATTAAACCACAGACAATAAGTACTAGATGTATAAATAGAAAATGAAAAAGCTACAGTGGTAATGATCCCCCTAACTAGGAAAAAAACAATTTATTGAGAGCATATTCTGAAATTATGTCAATACAACATTTTTATAGTTCCCCGAAATATGTTTTAAGATAAACATATCGCAAGCATACAATATATGTGTTAAAAATCACGGATAGTGTGAAGAATACAGAAGGACATAGAAGAATATCATGTAATAAATGTAAAATATTTGTAATGTAAAAAATAAAGTCAACATAAAATAATACGCAATATCACTTACCAACAATTGTAAAACTTGAGGAGCAACTTGGCAAAAATTTTCATTGACTTGAGCTCTTCTGTTTGCACCTAACCTTAAATGCCTGCTATTTATCTAAAATGAAATAAAACACTAAGACTCCAGAAAAATCAAATTAAATATTTTTTTGCAAACTATTATAGGCATTATTGTATATTATAAATATTGTTTAAGATCTTACAGCATAATGAATAGCAACAATCTGGAAGTGGACTATTTGGTAAGCCAGGAAGAAGATAAAAATTTTATGTCTTGCACAATTGCAAAACTTGTCAAGTTACAATGATGATTAATTATCTTATAGCACAACATTTAGCAATATTACATAATAGCACCAAAATCTAGAAATATTTCACTTCAGAATTTTTTTATGTTAAATGTATTACGGCTATTCCACTATATCAATAAAAATATTATTGATGTATATGTATATATACTATCATATATAATTCATAATAATTTATAAGAAATAAGAAAACTTTCCATATACAATCTCCAAGGAACACAAATTCAATTTAAAACCATGAATCAAAACAATTTTTTATTCAGAATTTAAATTAGTATTTTAAAGAGTAATTTCAACTTCTTGTTTAAAAAATCTGCTAAGAAAAATCTTACATCGCAAAAATACCAAAACCAAAAGGAAATTCTAAAAACTGAAAAAGTAATTATTGTCATTGATTGCAGATTAATTGACTTCATGGGCATAAACCAATCTACCATCAATTAACAACAAATAAATTAAGGGAGTGTTTCATCTTACTTCTATGTAAGCATCAAATTATTTGCTAGATTCAAACCATACGTCAAAATTAATACTCAATCCAAATAAAGATATTAGTCCATTTAAGCCAAGAATTTTGTTAAACAAAATAGCAAATAATCTTAAAAGTTTCTATTAAGAACATAATTAATCTGAACGAGATACTTACTTTAGACATATCCCTTACACTCTCATTTCAATTTCAAAAACAGAAGTAAACATAGAACATTAAAAGTTATTCAAAATCATAAGGTCAAAAATGATCCAACCTCAAAATTAAAGTTTAAAACATGTAGTTAATTACAAATTTCAAACATCAAACTAGTAAGTTAAAATTAACACACTTGCCTTCAAAATTTTAAGATCAAGCGGCTGGGAATTCAAGTATTAAGTGATGGAAGTAAAAGGATTATCGTAAAGTGCAATTTTCTATTTAATTTACTTAATAAATAAAATACTTTACTTAATTTACTTCATTTTTCATTTACTTTTAATTACTTTACTTTGAATCCATTATATATACACAGATTAAATGGCAGTGTAAGAATAAAAATGCATTAATGTATATAACTTTTAGACACATACATGTTTCAGAAGTGAAATTCACATACATTTTAAACATCATTCAGTTAATCGATAAGTATGACCAAAATAAATCCTTTTTACAGTCAAGATAACACTACAAGATTACATTTAATTACATTAAATTTACATACAAGATTACATATACATTTAATTAAATTTATATAATTTTTTTATATTTCTAAATACTTAGCAGATGAAAAAAAGGCTTAACTTATCCCTCCCTGAAAATATCAAACTCCCCGAGAACCTTTGCTCTAGATGCATTGCACATGAGTGAGTGCTCTTTTTTGAATAGCAGCTGATAGGAGGCAGAAGTGCAACTTCTGCCTCCTATCAGCTGCTATTCAAGTATAACTCATGCAGTAATGTCTAAACTTTTTTTTATATCAGTAATTGAATAACAAGAGTATGTCAACCTTTTATGCTAATTTTACGCTTGGTGATGATTATAGATTTTTAAATGCTCTAAGAAATGCTGTAGAGGAAATATTCAACAAAAATTTCTTTTCATATACTAAAATAGATTTTGTTAATGAAACTCATAAGCCAAAAGATTACATTTAGTGCTATTTCAATTAAGAATAACTGATATGTTATTCACCATAAACCCAGAAGCGGCAGCAAAACTTGAGAACGACAAAATTTTTGGAATTTGGGGAAGCACTGAGCAGCAAAATTAAGGGATGAGAAGTTTTTTATGATTTAGGGAAAGCACTGGGATGCAAAGTTTAGGTGCGATGAAAATTTAGAACTTAGGAAGGCGATTTGTAGCAGAATTTAAGACCAGGAGAGACTGCACCATGCGGTATTTAGCACCGGCCCTAGATAAAGTGTTAAGTATATGTGGGAGTTTATTTATTCAGGACTCAGATTATTAGTTTTAAGCAAGTGCAAGAAATAAATGTAGGTATAGTAAATAACTAAACTAATACAGTTCAAGCTTAATTCAGTATGCAATAGGAGCAAGACATAATTTAGCGAAACAACTTAGCTTTTGTCGCCAATCTTGTGATGCACAGCCAATAATGTATCATGGACGCTATTAAGCTAGGCTAAAATTATCTTTATTGATTCTAAGGCATTTTGGTTAATGCGGCGGACTGCGCTGCTCCTTATTCTTTTAGTTTGATCCAGCTTATTATTTTTTGCAGACTGTTATTATTACGGCAATTTTATAAAAACTAAGCTTGAACTTTTGATTATGTCGAAAACAGTTTCCAATTATGCTGCCAAAGGATCCACAAAGCAAAACCATGTTTCAATGTCCATTAAACAAAAAGTGAAATTGCTGCAAAAAATGGATAAAAGCATATCCGTCTCAAAATTATGCGAGGAGTATGGAATAGAAAGTCAACTGTATATGACATAAGAGAAAAGAAAATTTTGAATTTTTTGTGGAAGCAACTTAAACAACTTACATTGAAAGAAATGCTTAATAAAGTAAACAAATAAATATTAAGCTTTTTTTTTTTCTAAATTTTGATATTCTTTAGATGATAATTGTTCTTTATTTCATAAATTAAGATTTCATATTTTTAATTGTATAATTTCTGCATGCCATCTTACCAGATTTGCTGCCCAAATGGTATAGTGGTTAGGGGAGCCTGACTGCAATACCAAAGGGCCCGGGTTCGAATCCTGGAGAAGGCATTGATGTAAAATTGTCTGTCCCTTCATAGGAGGTAATGGTGGCCACCTATTAGGTGCCTCCACAATAAAATGGTCACTGTATCTGGCCTTAATAGTGGCCAAAGCTATTATAGGCAAGTGCCCGCCATTTGTCTTACCAGATTTAAATTGATGATCTAATATCTGGAAAAATCTCAAATCGCTGAAGTCCCGACAAGTCCGGATTTCGGACTTTGTACTGTATTAAACTTTCAGTCTGAAATTTATTTCAAATAATTCTAATATGTTGAATTAACCACTAAATAATTAAACAAAACAAAAAAAAAATCATAAAAAGATTCGAAATGAAACAAAACTGAAAATAAACAATGACATGAATGTAAATATTTATAAACTTCTTGATTTCTTACTTGACACCAGATGGCATTTTAATTATGATAAAATTTGTATACTTGGAAAAAAATCACTTGATGAAACTATTTTCATCATGGATTGTAAAAACTCATTGATCAATTGAGATCTTTTCTTAGAATTTTTAATTTTTAACTGATTGACAAATTTAAATACAAACTTTCTGCACATGAATTTATTTTCAAATAAAACAATTATTCTTACTGCAAAAATTCATGACTGTTTATCTTTTGACTCAGATTCCAAATAATTAAAATTAGTCGATTTCTTGTTGTAATTATGTATTTTTCTTGCACACACTTTGAACTTTTCATTAGAAATAATAGTGCAGGATTTATGATTTTAGACACACAAGAGAAAAAGTAGGAAGATTCATCTTTAGAATATGTGTCAGATGATAACAATATTAAGATGTGTAAAAACTCACTATAGACAGGACTAAAAACTGACACGTGTAAAATCTGTTTTGGTAATAGAAAAAGTGTTAAAAGAACTGGAGAAACTAAAAGAGAAAAATGATACCACGCGAATAAAATCTATATAAACACTTCCGATTCTACAAAACATTTTTAAACTGAAAGGTGCTGATCAAAAAAGCTATCGGCAGTTCAACAGAGAAACTTTTAATGAACAATATAAAACATATATAGACAGAACAATTATTTGTAAAAGTTAAAAATTTTATCAGGTATGTAATTATAAAAAATTAAATTTCAAAATTGCATAAATTATTTAATTTTAGCATTGAATTTTAATTATTATTTCAGGATTAATTACTAGATCAGTGCAAAAAAGGACTTTTCAAAAAATGTAACGGATATATATTGATGTTTCTTGCTTTTGAAATTTTACTGATTGGCTGCTCTTGTATGGCATTCTTAATACATTTTGATAGTGACAGATGCCGTTTGGCCATTAGCTTGGCAAAAAAAAAAAAAAAAAAAAAAAAAAAAAAAAAAAAAAAAAACTATTTGCCATGTTCATGACATTTTTGGTGAAGAAGCGAATAATTAGAAATGAAAAATTTTACCAGAAATTGAAGAGTAAAATATGCATGATTTCAAAACCCCTGAAGACTGTATATTGAAAGACTACCCAAGAAAATAAGGATTTTAATGGGAACTATTGAATAGTTATTATTTTACTAAATAAGTTTAAAACTGATATCACAATTTGCAATATACAGAATCACCATCAACTAATTTCAGCTACCTCAGATATTTTGGAACATAAATGATTTTAATAACTGTCAGGTACTGCAACTCAGTTTTTAGCTTCAAATAAAATTACACATAGTAGTATAATTTCATAAAAATGAATTTTGAGAACTCCTAATATTGAATGCTAAATATAATATATAATCAATGAATTATAAATACCTCTTCAGGCAAAACAGTAAGAATTTCTAATAGAGTTGAAATGTGTTGTGCACTGCTTCCAAACCTTAAAAAAAGTTAAATACGACTTTAATATTGAAGAATCATTTTAGATAGCCATTTGTAAAAACATAAACATCACAGAAAGGGGAACAATTGAAACTATACATTTTTTCCCATTAAAATACATGTTATTACATATATAAACATATTTACTAATAACAAAATCTCAATTATGTTTGATTATTATCACTATTTAAATTCATAAAAACGTCTAAATTATACATTTTTTATAAACATTTTTGAATTGCATATGGAGGACAAACTATCATCCATTTAATACAAATGAAACCTATGGCACAAGAAAAACAAAATATAAATTTATAAAAAAATATTAAATACCTTTCAATTACGTCTTGCACAGGAGTTTTCCATACAACCATTTGCAGAGCTAGGTCAGCTAACGCCAAGCACAACTAGAATAAGATTATCATTTCAGTTCTGAATAAATAAATCAATGCACTACATATCTTTTGGGGGAAGGGTGAAGAACAAAGTACCGACTAAAAGGTCATTTACTGACCCAATGTGAAAAAACATGACATAATTCTACTTATAAAAATCGCATGTTGTAGAACATATACAAAGATGGACTATTGAATAAAATTTTTAAATTACAACCAAATTACTGTACCAAGTTAAACACTGTAAAAACATCTAAGGATCTCGCACCAGAAAACAAATTAAAATGAAACTAAAAGACATTTTTCAGAAGGCAATTTCGTTTACTTTCTGATTATCTTTCTGATACTTTCTACTTTCTGATTATCCACACTACCACCGAAAAGTCATGACAAATTATTCATGTGGAAAAGTAGTATAGTGTCAAAATAGTTGTGTAACAACTTATGATGTTGGTAATCAGCATTTATTTGGCAACCCAGGTCTATGTGCAGCACATGACTATTTTGGAAAGAATACCAGTGCAAAAAAGGACTTTTCAAAAAATGTAACGGATATATATTGATGTTTCTTGCTTTTGAAATTTTATTGATTGACTGCTCTTGTATGGCATTCTTAATATATTTTGATAGTGACAGATGCCGTTTGACCATTAGCTTGGCAAAAAAAAAAAAAACTATTTGCCATGTTCATGACTTTTTTGGTGAAGAAGCGAATAATTAGAAATGAAAAATTATACCAGAAATTGAAGAGTAAAATATGCATGATTTCAAAACCCCTGAAGACTGTATATTGAAAGACTACCTAAGAAAATAAGGATTTTAATGGGAACTATTGAATAGTTTTTATTATAAATATAGGCCCTAATGCATGTATGTTTGATAATGCTGAAATATTGTTATTTACCAGTCAAAGGCAATAACCATTGTGTATTTATATGATGAACAGGAAATAACCTAGACTAGGGGTTCCCAAAATTTTCAGCGCAATGCATACTTGCAGTTTTATTTTTTCATAGCACTCTTCCAGTATTTTTACTATAATGTTGATCAGGCATAGAAATGATAACAACATTTGGTTAGAGTAAACTGAAGGTTACCCCTTGTTGCAACTCAACTCTTGCTGAGATCCGATGGCTGAGTGACGTCATCTCGAACTCTGAACTCTCGCTAGAGATCACGAGAACTCGGGACTGAGAAGTCGCATGCTGCGTCGTGCGAACATTTAACCTTTCATTATGTAAAAATTATGTAACCGTTAACGCCTTCATTAAATATGTTTGTGTTAAGAAAGTTTATCATTTATGGATTATCCCTCAAAGATTTTACAGATAGAGTCCCTGAGAAGAATGCATCCAGTGGCCCTGGCCGAACCCATTGGAACAAGGTAAGCAGTTTTGTTTTACCTTGATTAATTAGTTAGAAGTAAGATAAAGAATATAAAATAAAAATATTGTGGCGCCCAACGTGGGGCCATTGGTTTGAATTTGAACTGAAATTTAATAGATTTTGCTTAAGCAAAAACATGGATTTAGAAAAATTAAAAAAGAAACGATCTGCTATAAGAGCAGTAGTTACGAGGCTAATAAATAAAATAGAAACAGAAATTACTAATGAGGGGGATAAAAATGTAATTGAAGAAACGGTTGCTCAGTTAATTAGTAAAGAAGAAGAACTAATCTTAGTGGATAATGGTATTGAAACAGGGTTGCCACTCAAACAGGAGAATGAAATTCCCTGACTTTTCCAGGTTTTCCAGGTGCATTTCAAGAAAATTCCAGTCTATCCGCGTAATGTACGTTGGCTACGCTAAGAGGTAAATTATGGTATTACTTGTATTGTGTAGCAAATTCACTTAATTATTCAATAAATCCCAGAGGACATTTATTCTTAATTATTCTTGGTATACTTTGTTTGATAATTTTGTTTACGTTTCCACTTAAGAAACTTAATAAAATTTAAGATATATACATTGGATAACAAATGTATGTTTTATTTAATTATTACTCATGATCATCACCAGTTCAACATGAGGCTAATCCGGTCCTTATAAATCGCAACGCAATGCTAAATAGTTAGGTTAGATTTTAGGTAAATTTAATTTGTGTGAGGTATGTTCTTAAAAAGCACTTTAACACTTGAAAACACAAATATAATTATAATAGTTGTTGTTTTCTCCATTGAAGATTGAGATTAGAATCTTCCCAATCTGGAATAAAATAAGGCTTTTTTTGCAGACATTCTGCAGCTAAACGAAACAAAGAAATCTATTTCAATAAATTGAGGTATTTTATATTTAGTTCGCAGCATACATAAGAAAAAAATATGTGCATTAAATTTCGTGATGGTATGTCATCATACTGCTAGAATTAATTTCAAGATTATGCCAGAGAAAATTTCCTGAAATTTAGAAATATTATTTACTAATAATTAATAAATTTAGAGGGAAGAAGCATCATTAAATTATACGAATAACATAAAAATAAAGATAATTACTTAAAAACTGAATTAGAATAATCAACGATATTTTAGCGAATATAGTTATATTACATGGTTAGCCTAGATGACAGATTACTATTTTTTATTTTACTGAAAAATGGTAAGGTATTTATTAAAAAGAAAAGTTTAAAAAGATTTTGCGGTAAAATTCTAGTATACGGTAAGGCTTGTAAAGAACGCTCCTGAACTCTACTAGAAAGACCTATGATGCTCTTGACTAGAGAGAACGTCGTTAGCAAACTCCTCACACTACGAGTACTATAATTCATTTTAACACCTTATTTAAAGAACTGTGAATGGCAACGACTTAACTGAGAATTACGCATGCGTAAAGAGATGAGAGTTCTGTTGAGACGCCTGTGAAAGAAGAGAGTTTGGGAAGCTCCGCCAGCGAGCTGAGGTGTGGAGACTAAATTTGTCCAGTGATGACGAGTGCTATCTTTGTTAACGTCTCTGATCGTGTCACCAACTCGGATATGTACTCAAGTTTTTCTAAATGCATTAATTAAATGTTGTATCTGTGTAATGTTGTGTAATTAAAGTCATGCATCACCAATACCAGTGTTGATTCCGTTCCCACTGAAGCATCCACGACGTCACAGGCTTTGGCATGATTTTGAAAATTGTCGCCAAGACCAAAATGACCCGTTTACTGCGCATCATCATGTCGCCAAATCCATACATGGAGATTATTTTAACCAAAAAACGTCTATGCAAAAAATCTCTAATTCTTTGGTCTATGTAAAGAAGAAAATTTTCCATACAAGTAAAATGCTATTACGCCGCTAGAATGCGGAGGGAAAATTTGCCAAGGGATTTGGCAACGGAACCTGGCGGCCAGAATTTCCCTCTCCGCGATGTGTACCGGAAATTGAAAAACGTGTTAAGAAGAAACGTTCTTTGACAAAAAGAAAGCTACGAAAATCCATTTTTAAATTATTGCGAAAAATCCAAGAAGAAATGTTTTATCAAAGGACGTTTCTTCTTGGATTTTTCGCAATAATTTTAAAAACAGATTTTCGTAGTTTTTTCCCCCCTGAAAATTACTAACCTATGAATTAATTTACTTGCGCCAAAAAATATTTTCTTTTAATTTAGAGTTTAACTACTTGCGCTAAGACTAAACTTCACGGTTGCGGTGCCGTGCGCTACAATATAGCAAGTGGTAAAGTGTCTCATTTATGCCGCTCCGCACCTGCGAGTGCAATCCAGAGCTGTAACTCGAGAAATAAACAATCTCATTGTTAGGCGACGTGTGCACCATGTTATTTTCATTTTTGCGATAAATGCTTATCGACGTGGTGTTCACGTCGCTCGCAGTTTGAGACAAAAACATCTCGACGTGCGTGGCACGTCTTTTTAGCGCAAGTGGTTAAAGAAATTTTAAAGGATATTCATTTAATGAACTCTTGATAACGTGACCTTCGAATTTCGACACCGGTTTCCAGCTTTGGCGGCAGATATATCACGCATGCACAGATGTTTCCCTCTATGATGGAACGGAGCCACGTCTGTTGCAGAGAGGTTTTCCTTCTTTACAATACATATTCTTTGATTCTAACCTCCATGGTACCGTATACTAAGATTAAACCCATTTTGTTTTATACAAGAACAGGTACTTTCTTTAGTTCATGCACTGCACATGCGATTCTCGAGAATACTGGAAACCAAAAGTTGCGGGAAACTTGCTTTGCCTTTCTGAAAGGCAATCAAATTGGAGCTGCGAAAATTGGCTCTATGCCAGCAGACACTCACGTGATAGGCAATTCGCCAAAAAAGTTATCTCTTCTGACGTCGGCGCAAAAATCGCTTTTTTTGGCGGGATCATTGTATGAACTTCCCTGACTTTTCCAGATTTTGACAAAAATACTTAAATTCCCTGACTTTTCCCTGAATTTTTTGGTCAATTTTCGAATCCCCTGACTTTTCCCGGTTCTCCCGGTTTTCCAGGTAGCGTGGCAACCCTGTTGAAACTTTAATTGATGTAACAAATTTAGAAGATGAGATAATGTCTAGAGAAGAGTATAAAAGTAAAATTATTATTTGGAAATTACGTGCGAAAAGATATTTAGATACTAAGCTCCACATAGCACTAATTCTACTTCATCATGTGGAAAACTGTCACTGAATCGCAAGAACAAAATTAAACTCCCCAAAATTGGCATTGGAAACATTTTCGGGAAAGGACGTGTGCAGTTGGCCCGGGGCCAGGGTTTTGGGCACGATTTGAGACAGCTGTACACGAAAACGAAAGTCTACATGCCGTAGATAAATTTAACTATTTAAAGTCAATTCTTACTTCCGATGCAGAAACTGCAATACAAGGGTTGACATTAACAGCGGAGAATTACAAGAAGGCTGTGAAAATATTAAAAGATCGCTTCGGACGCAAAGAACTAATAATAGATACCCATATGAACAATTTATTAACTCTGACTCCAGTTAAAAGGTCTGGCGATGTGACAGCACTTCGAAAATTATATGATCGTTGTGAAGTACAAATTAGAGGATTAGAA